TTGAATGATTAAAATTTCATCTATGGTTGTTGTAGGTATAAGTTGGATTATGATTAGATATTCTTATAATAGAAAATATTAGTACTTACAGGTTAATTATTTATTTTATAATATTAATAAAATAATATTGGCGGAGACATGGACGATTTGTCAAAGCTTAGTTATCGGTCATGTAATTTAAATTAATAAAAATCATTATTGAGTTTTGGATTAAATGTATTAGTCCTTTAATTGTAATTTAATGTTTAAATGATTAAAAAAACTGTCTAGGATGGAATTAAGGTTAAAGGAGTATCTTTTTTAAAAGAAAAATAAATTGTGGATTGGTTGGTATGATTATTATTTTAATCATTGTTTTATAGTTTTGAAATTAATAAACCTAGTAATAGATGTAACTGTTGTATTATATATAATTAATTATATATATGTGTATCATCGTATATTAAAGTTAAAACTTTATTATAATTGGTTTTAGTCAAAGATGATCTGTTTATTGATTTTTAGAGGCTTGGTAGAGAGATCTTACTCGTGAGTTTGACCCACTTATTTTTATCTTTCAGGTTATAGAGGTTCAAGTCTTAAGGTTGAGGATCCGCAACTTGGGGGACTTATCTATTCTTTCTTCTTATTTCAAAGTAGGATATTTATACATTATTAGATTATAGACTTATTTTATAGTTAACTGGATTATTGAATAATGTTTTTAGACATCTTCGAATTACAGGATTCCCGAGTTGTAATTTTGGAGAAGTATTAATGGAATTTTTATTTAATAGATTTTTCTTCAGCAAGTTATTTATTCTTTTTCTTTCTTTTTGTAATTTGTGCTTGTTTTAAAATACTTTAATTATTTTGATATCCCTTGATTTTGTACGTGAACTTGATCAACCCATGTTCTGAAATTAGGGGTATCACACTTCCTCCCCCCCCCCCCCCCCCCTCCTTCCCTCCCTCTCTCTATTTCGCTCTATTTTCTCTTTCACCCTGTCATCTCTATATCACACCAAATAACTAGGTTTTGTTTATTACAGTTCTTATCTTTTATTGTTGGCATAGAAGCATTTGATATTTGAGAATATTCATAAGGGGAAAATGACAGTGACAACTGTGATTGCACAACTCACTCTTTCTTGGAGATATCTGCGCGATTTTTCTTCTACAATAATGCTAGATTTTTTTTTTCTGCCAATTTTTGACAAGAATTCATTGATAAATACGTGTGGTCTCTGTTTTGGGTTTTTGATATGTAGTTACTGAAAACACAATAAATCGTGCCATCTAACAGTCTCTTTATTTCATTGAATTAATTAAAATATTTTTGTTTGTTGATACTTATGTTGGATCTTCGATGGATAATTTCAAAGTTTTTAAGATTAATCGCAAATATAGTTAAGTTTGCCAATTTGTGTGAGTTGAATGGTTTGGATTAGAACTTAAAATCAATTAGTGGGTTGTCTATTGGAGATTGCAGATAGAGCTTGAGATTGTAGAGAGAAATTTGTGTGAAATTTGAGGGTTGAGGAGGTGAAAGAAGAGGGTGGTGGGATGGTGAGGGGAGAGAAACGGAGGGTTTTAGAGAGAGAAACCCTTAAATGTCATTTCTCGTTGGAGTCTCTATTTTCACACATCTCTAAAATGCATTTGATTGTGTGGCAGAAAAAAGCGAGCTTGCGAGTGATTTTACGAGGGTGCTTGACAACGCTCTTGCGAGAGGTCGCTTCACAATGTCAAAATATGATTGTGGTTTTGGAAGCTTAGAAAGTCTAATTTATATTTATAAAACCACTACACACTAATACTAATGAAGTATAGCGAGTGGGGATCGTCCCAAGAGATTGAACACGTGTTGGAATCAAATTGAACTTTAGTGCTAATGAGATTGTAAAGAGAGTTAGTTTAGTTTGTTTAAACTACAATTGAACTTGGAAACATGCAATGTAATTAAACTTGAGTAGAGTGAAAGAGATAGGAAATGAGTCTTAGGGCATAGGAATCACCACTAAGCTCATTCACTAAACCACATGCCTTTAACTAATTGGGAAAAATCATGTTGTAAACCAAATGTGACTACTAATTGCATTAATGAGCATGACTACCAAATTCAAGCATGAATTATCTACCAAACTACAAGCATGAATTAAAGTGTAGTGCAATTCATTAAGCCTAAGCATAAACTATTTAATTAATCAACAATTGTAACACACATCAATCTAGAGAATAATGCAAATTGCAACAATAAGCCATGTATTATCAAATTCAAGCATAAATTGTTTACTTAACTACAATTAGAATGCAATTAAACTACAATTAGGCTAAGACAATGAAATTAAAGCAATTAAACTAAGGATGTAGTGCAATCCATCAATCATAAGTATAATCCATCAAATTAATCAACAAGTGCATCTAGTAAAATCTATGCATAGCCATCACTAAATTTTCAAATAATCACAAATAGATATGCAACCAACATAGAGAATTATTAGGAAGAATTTAACCATAGAAATCAAAGGAGAACCCAAGATTCATTACATACACAAGGCTATAGCATCATTTACATCATTAATTCCCCAAAAAGATGAAAAAGAAGGGTTCAGATTAAAAGCTTAGGGCTCATCCAAGCCCTAAGGAAAAGTCTAGCCACTCATGGAGGAGGTGGATGTGATCTTAGAACCCTCAAGGGCAATCCCCAAACATGGCTTTATCTTCTTCCTCTTGGTCTTCTTGGTAGAAACCCTAGAGATCTTGATAATCTTACCTCTTTTCCTTCCAAAACCCTAATTCTAGGGAGAGAATTCTAATATCTAAAAGTGATCTCTATGTAAAATTAGCTAATCCTTTACAAAGTGGTTCATTTTGCCTTTTATACAAGACCTTTGGAGGCCAAAATGGGTCAAAAATGTGCCCAAAAATCATGCAATCACGCAGCCTCTTTGGTAAGTGGAGATCCAGAAAAAACAAGCATAGAAAATGTCTGCCAACGCAAGTTGCAATCGATCGCAACTTGGCTGCGATCAATCGCAGTTGCATTATTCCATCTTATCCTGTAATGGACTGACGTGGATGCGATCGATTGCAACTTGCTGATGAAGCTTAGCCATTTTGTTGATGTGGCACTGATTGATGACATGGCAGTGCGATCGATCGCACCTGGCTTGCGATGGATCGCAGGCCCCACTTTTGGCAATTTTTGGACTTTTTCTGGAATTTTCTTTAAACTTTTGCTTAACTCCAAAAAAGCTTTAATGGACCATTTTTAGCTCGTTTGAACCTTATTGACCTAAAATAGACAAAAACACAAATTAGAACTAAAACGGGAAAATAAAGATAAATGCAAGGACTAAAATACCGTAACTTATATCTAAAATGTGCAACATTTAAGCACTTATCAGCGCTCTCTTGGTAACGCCACTCTTTTTTAATTGTGGGTACAATAACTAAAAAATAAATTAGTGATAAATTTATAAAGTATATATAATGCATCCTTTTAGTATATATCTTCTTCTTTTTTTTCCTTTTTTTTTTTTTTTTTTTTGAGCAATTTACAGAATTCTTCTTGCTATATATTGTTTAGACTTGTGAATACTATTATGCTCATTCAAGTTGTATATGCAATTATTTGAAATAATGAATACTATGTAAAAAACAAGGACGCTACATATTGGTAGCGAGATTTATTCCATCCCAATTAGTACATTCCTAAATACCTTTTAGGACACTACATATTGAGACCCAAAAAGACATTAAGGACGATTTAGGTTTAGGGACAGTTTTTTTTTTTATCCCTAATGCCCTGAATTCTTGTAGTATGAATGCTTTTATTTCTATCTAGATCTTCATTTTTCCTGGTATTTTCAATAGGACGAAGACTACCCATTGATTTACTTAGCCCACGAGTTAAAGATTGTTTTGGTAACTCTTTACTGGCAAGTTGTGGGCATTGTTGTCTAATAAGGAAATGGTAATTGAGGTATCTATAAATTTGAGGGGAAGGTAGAGAAGAAAAGTGTGAAGAGAGATAGAGAGAATTGTAAGAGATAGGGTGAGTTGAGTTAAATTTGTGAGTGGGTCGAGTTGAGTTTGCGGGAATAGAATTGAGTGTGTAATCTTTATAGTGAAAGAAATATAGTCGTTCTCAGCCTGTGAGTAAGCGATTTGATGAACCATGTATATCCTTCTCTTGTTTTATATGTGTGTACTTAATTTCATCAGTTTCATTTGCCATTATAAAGTGAGATCATGAGGTAATTCCTAACTGTATCTAATTTTGTTTTTAAAAAAAAAAAAAAAAAAACTCCTTAAAAAAAATTCCTCTCTTTTACTTTTCTTTTCTTCAAAATTTTCTTTCTTCAAAAAGGTTCGCATCCCCCTTCCCACTTCTAACGAAATCATATTTTTTTTCCTCTTCAAAATTTTCTCATTTTCTTTTTCTTCTCTCCCCTTTAAATTTATTATTCTTGCAGTACGTCTTGTATAATTTATGTGCGGTAACATTATTTTCTCTCTTTTTCTTCCTTTTGTTAATTTATTTTTTTTTAATTTATTTTTACAATTTTATGAATTTAATGTTTGTATTTTCTGTTTTTAAATTTATCTTTGTTGCAATTTTTTTTTTTTTTTTTTTTTTTTTTTTTTTTTTTTGGCCTTATTAAGACATCCTATTTAAACCTAAATTATTTTGCACTTTTTTTTTTTCTCGATTTGTTGTCATTTATCAAAAACTAAATAATCATAATAATAATAATAATAATAATAAAAGAAATCGATTTGCTGGTCTACCTACAATTTTATTCTTATTTGTGGGTAAAGTGAAAAATTTATAGACTAGACAATAATGTACCATGGTCGAGTTGGTCACTGTTAGTTGCAAATGCCAAATGTGTCCATGAAATGAAATTTCAGTAACTAATCACAGGATAGAATTAATGAATTATCAGAATCGTTTTCCTTTACAAATGAATTCTAATGGTTTTCCCACAATGACGTGTCATTTCCATTAATAATCATATTCCCTCAGAAATGGGTTCCAGAACCGGCCTCCACTGCCTGTAATTCCCTAACCGGCAAACGGAAGAGCCGGTGTCATCCTTTTCCAAAACCCTAACGGAATCCTCACCGGAATCGTCGTCGATAACGGCCGGCAATACCTTCGAACTGGGTCGCCTTTTCTCACAGGCCGAATTTAGGAGGGCCATCTGCGATTCCGAGACCTTACAGTTCAGCCTACCCACTGGGACCAAGAGGTAAACCTTTCCGGCCAACAGTTCGCAGTCGGCTTTCATGGCCGAAAGCCGGTTACTCCGCCGGATCTCATCCACCGGAGATATGAAGTGGCTTGGTTCTTCTAGCATGATCTCAGCTGCTGTTATGGGGAGCTTGACTCGCCGGAGATTTCCATGACCGTCGATTAACTTGGCTGTCCGGGGCTTGACGAAGCAACATGACTTGCAATTCCCCATATATATATATGTATATATATAATGACTTTTAATTAATAGTTTCTCTTTTGTTGTGCTTGGTGTGGAGATTGAGAGATCGAGTAGAGACTTGGAAGTGAAGTGTGCTTTTTTGCTTGGGTAACTTGTGTGTGTCTGTGCGCTTTTATATACAAACAAAAACCAGAAAGAAACTTTCCAAAAAAAAAACCAGAAAGAAAGAAAGACAAACAAGAGACAGTCAAAAGTAAGCGAGAGGAATGGAATGAAAAGAGTGTTGACTACAAGCGTGTTTTGTTTGAAGTGAGAATGGATTATTAGTATAAGCTGTCAGGAACGCGGATATTTTCCATGTTTCATTTGGCGTGGTTGAAACGCTGAGTTTCTGATTTACTCGTGACAACTTGGGCCTGGTCAAGACATTAGTTTAATTATTTGTTTTTTCTTGAAAGGTTAAAATTTTTTAATAAGTTTTAGGGTTAATTACAATGACACCTCCGTAGATTTGTCATAATGACATTTATATATTAGACGTTTTTTTTGAATAATGACATTCCTGACAAAATTTTGATCGAAACAAATCCTTAAAAAATTTGAAAAGACAAAATTACTCACCAATATTTAACTAATTTTAATTATAAAATATAATAATTTTAAAAAGACACTTTTGCCCTTCTACCAATCTCACCTAGCTCCGCCATTCACAATGGCAACCACCATCAGCCCCTCTATCACCCACAAGCAAGACAACCTTCCCCACCAACGCCCAAAATCATCACCACCACCACCCACCTTCACGACTGACTACCTTTTTTTTCCCCCTCTCTCCACTCACCACCACAACCACTGCCCACCAGTTATTAGGGTTTTCTCCTCTTCTAACCCAGCGATCCCTACTTCTCTCTCTTCACCCGCTGCCATCATCTCTTCAACCACAGCCACCACCACTTTTCCTCAACCACATCCGTCGCCACTATCTCCTCAACCACATCTGCTGCCACCATCTCTTCAACAACAACAGCCGCTGCTATCACCTCCCTCCTATATCGCCACCACTTCTCCTCATCCACAGTCGCCGCCCCCACTTCTTCTCTCCACCCATCGATGATTGCACAGTATCAATCTCTCTTATCACCACCACTATGCTTGATTTGTGCAAAAACAAACAGAGGAGCAACCCACAGATCAATCCAAATCCATTTGCATCATCAGACCGTGGTTGGAGGTTGTAGCGGAGATGGTGGTGGCATAACCGGAATTAACTGAATCGGATTCGTAAATTGATTTAATTCCTTTGTGCCATCTGAAATCTCGCTTGGATCTACTCCGGGAAGCAAAAGGATCAGAGAAGTCAAAGGATTGTTGGCCGATGACAACATACATACGTATATATATATATATATATATGTATATATAATATATATATACACATACATACATATGACCCAGATTGCAAAGTGAGGTCTTTATACATATACATATTGATGATCAAAGAAGTTCTGTTTGGTGTGTTATTGACAAAAGTTTGGCAAGATTTGGGCGATTTTACAACACTACTGATTCTAGGGCTCCGGTGATTCCAATGCAGAGCTCTGGTGACCACCCCCACTAGTACGTTTGAGAACCATGGAACGTGCATTTGTGTATATATACATGCAATTTCAACCCAAGGCTCCTGCGATCCCACTGATACGTTAAATACATGGAACACATATGTGATATATATATATATATCAGAATGAGGTGACCAGAGTGGTGAAATAGTGTATATATTAACAATATTTGTATACAGAGAGATGTGAGAGATGTTATTTTGGATATTTCAAATTTATTAGAATGGGTAACTTAGTAATTTCGTTATTCAAAGTGTCATTTCATAAGTCAAAGGGCACTTAGGTCATTTTACCACATGTCAGCCCTTAACGGGTGTCTTTGTCAAAGGCAGCAAAGCTGAGGGGGTGTCATTGTTCAAAAGTGGGTTAACTTGTATATGACTGTCAATATGGCAAACCTTAAGGGGGTGTCATTGTAATTAACCTAAGTTTTAAGATATGAAAAGGCACGTGTGTGTAGGATGGAGATGGGTGGGTTTGCCTAAATTTATTCGCTCCGTTTAATTAATTCGCTCCATACTTACGATGAGTTTTAATTTCACAATCTATACTCGCATTGTTAAGAAATGAGTGTACCCGTGCCACCCTAACGGTCCCGCCCTGTTTATTTATTTGTATTATATATAAATAAATTAATAAAATCTACAAATTCTATTCGTGTAAATAATGATATATATATATATATATATATATATATATATAAATAAATTTTTTATAAGAAAATAAAGTATAAAGAGTGGGGCGGATGTTTCACAAAACATGTACCTGCCCTGTAACCCGCAACGGGTTTAAATTCTAAATCTATACCCGACTCTGCATTACATAAACGATTTCTATACCCGTGCCATTAGGAACGGGACAAATTACCATCCCTACATATGTGGTCTGGATGGTGCCAGAATTTCAATTACAAAAAAGATAATGGTAACCCCAACCTTAATTACTTGGTTTATGAATTTTACAGGAATATAAATTGTTTAAATAAAGGAGCAAAAGAGAAAAAAAAAATATTGCAAAACCAATTGATTTAGCTCAATGAGTAGTATAAGAAATATAAATAGTTGACCAATATAAGAAGTTAAGAACTAAAATACTATTTAGTAATATTTTCATTAAATCCAGTTGTAGTGTTTGTATTTTGAAAACAATGCATGAAAATTATACCCATTTTTTTCCTTAGTTAAAAAATTTTTCTCATCGACTTCATAAATTATAGTCATAAATTTAAATAAGAAGAAAGAGAAAAAAAATTACACACTACATCTTTGATGAATTATATCTTTGAATTTTTATTCATATCACATTCTATGTACAGAGTATAAATAGAGAGCATTCTAAACATAATTCCTAGAATCAAGCTATTCCCTAAATTACAACCTTATAATCTTCTATGGTCAAATGTAATCTTCTAAAATAGGAAGGAAGGAAAAAATCAATCCGTACAGCTAATGACAACCTAATTCAACACTACATACATCTTAGTGTCAGTGCAAAAAGAATAATTTTAAGTAGGAAAAAAAAAAAAAAAAAAGAAGGGACATAGGAAAGAAAAATGAGAAATTTGAAAGGAAAAAAAAATAGGGTTTGATTTGAGAAGGGAAATTTAACTTTTTTACTTATTATTATTATTATGTTTAGAAGAAATTAAAGTAATTTGAAGAGTAAAAGAAAAAGAAAAGAAAAATCAGGGCCCGGGGTATGCTCTCCCTAGATACACGATAACTTTAGAAATTTAAAATTTCAGGGCCGGGGTGCATGCTCTCCCTGGTTGCACACGTCAACAATTGGACCGACCTCGCTAGCTATGTTATGTGGTTAGCTCAGTTACACGGTATAATATTGGATGACATAGTCATTTTATTATTTTATTAATTTTTTTGTAAACTTTTTAAAAATATATATTTATTTAATTATTTGTTTGTGTTTTTCTCAATGACAATTTATCTTCTTTGACTCTTCAACCATAAGAAGATAACGTTGGACTGGTTTAGTTCTAAATTTTTACAAGAAAATCTTTATAGAGTGATAAAAAGATAAATAGCCATTGAAAAAAAAAAAAAACAAACAAACAAAATATATTTGCACGAAATGTGCAATCACAGATGAATGATGCTCTGGTTTCTGGCTTAAAGCAGCGTTCATCTGGGTTAAATTTAGGGGAATGATAATTTGTATTTCGGGGCTGGGCTTAGTCGTATGGGTTGGCCTTTTATGTCATGTTATTTATATTTTGATGTTATCCCTGTGGTTTGGGCTCAACCAACTGTTGTTGGGCCACTCTTGTACATTATTCTCAATCAATAAATTTACTTTACCATTAAAAAAAAAAAAAAAAAACTACTGAAAAATAACAACAGATAAGTAAAAATATAATACTCACTGCATAATTTCATAGACTTAGTATCACATGTATGACGAAAATTGTTTAAAATTATTTTAATAAAAGGTGGCAGGAAGAATAATGCTCTGAGATAGATGGTTTTAGACTTTTAGTTTCGGATTTAAGTGATGGTCACTTTTTTAATTTTATTCGGCAGACAATATTGTTTTTGATATATATATTATCAGGTTTTAATTACAATTTTTATTAACATAATCCTAATTTTGCTATTCCATGATATTGCACACGAACCCATATGAAAAGAATGAACAAAAACTTTTGGAACAGTGGGGCTTTAGGCCATTGAGACTTGAGCCAGCCTTCGTTGCTGGTGAAAAACTTAATTGAGCCGGGTGTATGGTGCACTTTACTCGTAATGGTGAAACTTACTACACATTGATCATTACTAAGGACTGCGAATGAACCAAACAAAACTAAGCTTTGGCATGTTGAGGCTGGCTCCCAAAATCAGGGAGGTGCATAATGAGAGGTAGACTAAGGACCCGTTTGGCATGTGTTTAGGTTTAGGCATTTTGTTTTTGGCTAAAACAAAAACAGTGTTTTTCCTATTGGAGTGTTTTGGCAAGAATCGGAAACACGTTTGGGAATGATGTTTTGTTGTGGAAATGTCGGAAACAGAAATATGAAAAACATATTTGGTAAGCCATGCGTTTCAAGAATTTTGAAAACAAAACATGTTCGGTAACTCCAACTGTTGTAAAAAAAAATAAAACAGAAACAAAAAACATGTTTAGTTATCATTGTTTTTAATTTGTTTTATAAATTTTAAATTATTTATAAATTTATTTCTATATAAATAGTCTATATATTTTTTTATAAATATATTGAATTTTGAACACACAAACATATATATATATATATATATATATAACCAAAGTGTAATTATAGAAGCAACTACTTTAGCGAAAATGTAGAATGTTAGTTCTAATAATTGAACTAATAATTTCAACCATTTTGCATATTATCTTGATCTGAAACTACACTTCAAGTTATTTGAAATTTCCTAGTAT